AGAGGCCTCCCTCACACTTTCCTCTAAGAATGACTCTCCTCGTTGCCAAGTCCTTAAGGGCAAAAGAATAAGATAGAATATTACGAGAACTTGGTTATCAAGAGTAAGCGATGAACTGAGACAAGATTTTTTGATGCATGAGGAACATGTAAGACATTATTGAGATGCAAATTTTTCTTAGGGGTTTTAACAATTGAGTTACCAATTTGAGCAATTTCCATACCCGTTCCACTTGCCGTGTGCACTTGGTCACCTCCGTGGTATATCTTTCTCGCATCGTCAACCTGTCAAGTTCCCCCGTGATATGCTCGATAGCGCCGGAATCTGCATAACAATTTGTGTCAATCCCGTAGGAGTTAGTGATGAGGTTGTCCTTCTTCTTTTCTTCACGATCCTCATCATAGCGGTGCCCGCAGGCCCTTGCACCTCCGGCGTGATATTTGTATCAAATTTGGCACTCGAGATAATCCCCTTCATGTTGTTGTTGTTGCTGTGGGGGTTGTCGCTGCTGGCGTTGCTGATAGCCGCCTCCACCGCCGCGAGAAGGAGGGGGAGAGGCACAATCGCCGCCGTGGCCGCGCCCTCTATTCCCTCGTCTGCGACCTCTACCGCAGGCCTGCCCACGGCCTCTGTACATGGCGTTTGTAGATGAACGGAAGCCTGATGGTCTGTCACCCAACATCTCCATCCTTTGATCGAAAGATGAAATCTGCGAGAAAAGATCATCAACACTGATTAAATTTTTGATGGCGCCGACTCCTGCAACGATGGGATCGTACAAGGCCGCCGAGGATGTAGTTGACCATCTCGCCTTCGGTCACTGGATTATCGGCGGCTGCAAGCTCATCTCCGAGACTCTACATCTTGGCAATGAAGGAGTGGCTTGACATGTTGCCCTTCTTGGTGTTGGAGATGGCAATTCTCAGATTTGTTATCCGAGATTGGTACTGCGCAGCAAATAGTGTGTTAAGAGCATTCCATAGATCATGAGTACTTTCCTTACCAATGACCCGCGCCAAGATTTCAGGGGTGAGCGAATTCAACCGGTAGCTCAGAACATGTTGATCTTTCGCTAGCCACGGGCCATACAGATGGTTTTGCTCCATGGCCGTGGTCTTGTCTGCCTTCGCGACCTCCACCGTTCTTGGCGGTGCGGCATCTGTGCCATCGAGGAGGCCGGTTACTTGTGCGCCTTGCAGCGCTGGCATCACCTGCGCTTTCCAGAGAAGATAATTCCCTCTTTCGAGCTTTTCTGTTGGAGGGACTCCGAGGTTGAGGGCGACGATGCTGGAACCAGCCATGGCGATAGGATTTAGGTTTCGCGCGATGATTGGGTTTGGGTTTCTGTTCGCTGGATGATGGGATCGCTAGATGATGGGAAGAGGCTAGGCTCTGTATCTATAGAGTTACTAAGCTCCCTAGAAATAAGCTTCTGTGGTGAATCGAGGGGTGTGAATGGTGCATGGGTGTGAGTGGTGCATGGGCCCCAGCCCCAGGTGATAGGGAGGACGTGTTGTGTTGGTAGCTTGATTCCGTGCATGCCTATTTTTCTTGTATACGTGATGGGTTTCCATGCTTTTTTGTTTGTCCAGTCAAGAAAAAAAGTCTATTATCACACCCAACCAATTAAAGACTCACTATGGGCATCCACCCGTAAACCTCTCGCATGCGTTCGGACCGCGCTGTCCGGACCGCGGAAGCCATCCAACGTATCGATCCGTAGGGCGGTTCAGATGCGATTTCTACCGCAAACCAGAGACAAACATAAGGGGGTTTTGTGGGAGTCCGGACCGCTCCTAAGCCCGCTTCTAACCGCCTGGCCCACCAGAAACCTCTCTTCCCTTCCGAGCACGCTTCCCGCCCGAACCGGTCAGCACCGCTCCTGAGCGTCAGTGGCCGCATTCATGCCCGACTAGAGCAGACATGACCACTCACTGACGCTAGCATGGAAGTGGCGCGCTGGCCAAGAGAACAACATCTCCGCTGCTTCCCGGTGCATATGGTTGCGGCGCATTCATATGACACGACTGTCGTCCGTCCGTCCGTCTGCCGCCCACATTGACGGCGCACGGTTGCTGAGGCGTCTTCTCCGACGCCACCCGTCCATTCCCCTGATTCCCGCCATTGCTATATAAACTGCTGCCCCGGGCATAGCCGAAGTCATCCCACCTCCGATCCCCCTGTGCGCTACTCCCGTCATGGATTCCTCCCGGCCAAAACTCTCTGGGATGGGCTGACGCCGGACCAGAAGAAGGAAATGGCCGCCATTGCTGCCGGCTGGCTGGCCGATAGGCAGCCGGAGGATGACGACGTTCGAGTGGAGGACACTGCCGACAACGAGCAGGCGACAACGTCCTCCTCCGCGCCACCCTCGCCGGTGCATTACACCATGACCATCGGCGAGACACGTGCCCATTACATGGACATGGTGCCGGAGGAGCAGTTCCGGGAGGCGCAGGCCGACGCCACCTACAACCACCACCTCCTCCAGGAGCATCTGCAGGCAGAGGAGCAACTCGCCGTCGGTAGGGCGTTGCGCCGGACACAGACATCACGGAGCAGGAGGCGCTGCTCGAGTCCTACCGCTCCGCCTGCGAGATCCACCTTGACCGCTGGCGGTACCGCCAACAGGTGCGAAGGTGGCGGCCATCGGCTAGGAGTGCGATGAGGAGGCAGGCGAGGGTGTGTTCGACGAGACCGACAAGGAGGAGGAGGACAACACCGAGGCCATGCCCCGCCGCCACAACCATGAAAAAGTCGGCACGTACGTGGGCGCCACTGGTAACGAGGAAGAGTAGTGAACAGTAGGTCACCGCCTCTCTGGTCCCAGGAAGGCCACCGCTCCTCCCCCTCCCATCGACACCAAGCTTGGTGGGATCAACATCGGCGGCCGATTAGTCGCTTGGCGTTGACGTGGAGCCAGACAACTTCAGTTCCCAGGGCTCCGGAGGCGGAGCTGGAGAGCGCTGAGGCGGAACTGGAGATGGTGAAGCTTCAGTTCTCGGGGCTGATGGCCGGACAAGAAGACTAGACGCCGGCAATCATTTAGATGAGAGCCCGACTAACACCACTTTGATGTAATCGTAATGAAATCTGTCATGTTTATATGAAATCCGTTATGTTTATATGAATTTTGCCATGTTTATATGAAATCTGGCCGTTTTTATATGAAATATGGACTTGTTTGAACAAATTTTGACCGGCTGATTCGAGTTGTTGTGAAATGTATGCGGCTACAGTTGGATGTCTGCCTCCAGCATCCGTGTTCGCTGACGGATGCGGGAAGAAATTTACGGGTCGCCGTTGGAGATGCCCTAACCATTCTAACATTTCATGAATCATTTTTCTGAAATATGAACATATTTTAATTAGTAGATACATGAATACTTTTAAAACTTTGTGCATTTATTAAATGTTTGAACACGTTAGAAGCAATGCATGGACACGGTTTGTGACATAAACAATTTTCAAATGTGCGAACATTTTTAAAGCATGGTGCATGGAGATCTTCTTAATATGATCATGTTTTAAAAAGTGTGAACATATCATGTGAACACTTTATGAAACATGAATATATTTTAAAATGTACGAACACATTTAAAAAATATATAAATGTTTTATAAAGTACCTTCTGAAATTACTTACACATTTAGTTGTTTTACAATTGAAG